ATGGTGATCTGCACGATGTTGCATCAGTTTGGATTGAAGTTCGCTCCCGGTTACAACCCACAGCAATACGAAGATGATATCCGTGATTACTATATCGCTGCGAAAGGTTCTTTACCCGTGATGGTAACATGTCGACAGTGATTCCTTGAAAAGCTCAATCTTAACACTTTCCAAAGTGCACCGTGCTAACGATGATATAATCATTTTTCTGCTGTCGCCTGTATGAGATTGTATGAGTGGGCACAAAGTGTGAATGGCGAGGCGTATGTGTGCCAAGACGGTTAGACGTCTCGGGGTGCACCCTGCTACGCCGAGGGCAGGTACTGATTGCCTAGTCCCGCCCTGACTAGGAGCGCAGGATCCCCTTAGCCCCCCTTGTCATGGAGGTCATTACATATTCCTTGACGATGGTCGATAACACCCGGCCAAGGACGCTCCAGCAGTGTTCCCATTGAAGCATTCAGCCACAAAATATATATATATGTACTCTGCATCAAGATCTATCAGGGTTTATGATGGGCTTCAGGGCCAGATGTCGGAATAACGGCACCCGCTGGTCTTGTGGTTGAACTATGCACATTTTTCTGAACACACCATACAACAATATCAGAAAGGGGAAGTAACCAATAATCAGCGGGAGTGGGTAGTTCTTTCTCGCATAAGGGCACGAGGGCCTTCGCATGCGAACTACCAATCATATGACCCTAAGGCGATACAACCCGCCTCGTTTTCCGATTGTTTATTTTCCAGTCGTACCTCAAATTCGCTGACCAGATAAGCCACTCTCCAGCTAACTCGTGGTTTTACATCGGAATTGTCCTGGTCAAACAGCCCTCCACACGCCAGCTCTGTAGATTCAGTATGGGGTGTTTCCCACTAGATATGCTACCCGCAACCATTGCTGGAATCGTACGCCGCATCCAAGCACTTATTCCTCTATATATAAAAACTGATCCGGCAGGGTTTTAGATTGTTCATGTCAGCTTCAAACGCGATGAAAGAGTGACGCAGCTCTCACGTCTATTCTTACTCCTCGCCGTCGTACCATGTTCTGTCAATTTCTTATTTGCCGATCCGTCTCGGTCACTCCTCTACGGTCTCTCGCGGACATTTCTGGTCTTTAACTCGACACTCGCTTCTTCTATCGTTCTGTATCGTTTGTCACCATGGCATCCTCTGGCGCGGTATCCGGGTCCGACGCTCTGCAAGATGTCAAAATTATATTGGGCCCTGACAACACGCTCGGGTCAACAGTATAAACTCCTGGCAGCTTTGCACGAACAATATGGGGAGATAGTGAGGATAGGTCCAAATGAAGTTTCCATCGCTAATGCGGCTTGCATTGAACCGCTCATGGGACCCTCGGGTCTTTCAAAGGGTCAATGTAAGTGTATCTTCCCCGATACAAGTGGATGCTGTTTACCATCCGGGATTTCTAGTCTGGGAAGGTCGTGCTCCAGAATCTGCGCCGGTCAAAACACTTGTGGGTTTGCGAAACAAGAAAGAACATACCCGCCGCAGAAAGCCCTGGATTCGCGCATTGAGTCCGATGTCCATCCGGTACTATGAAAGCTTTCTCATCTCAAGAGCTTCCCAGATGGTGGAGTTGCTCATGGAGAGGGCGTCTGGGCCTATCGACTTGAGCCAGTGGTTATCCCATTTCTCGTGAGTGTCTATTCCTCTGTCGAGAGAACCTCGAGTGACCTCATCTCAGTTTTGATGTCATGAGCGACTTAGTGTATGTTTTTCCCTTCAACTGGTCTAGCTGAAGCTCAGAAACCAATAGATTCGGAGAGGGTCCGGAGATGATGAAGAATGGTGACCGGGAGAATATATGGCATCTCCTTGACAGCTCTCAAAGGTTGGGATATTGTTTATCCTGTCATGATTCATCTAAAATATTCAATAACAGCACCCTTTTCTTTTTTGGGCTGGTTCCATGGGTGGGGAAACTGATGTTCCGTGCATCCTACTTCCTGCCGATTCTGCCTAGCTTTCAGAGGTATAGGGATTACGCAGTTAATCGTGTGATGAAACGGCGGAAACGAGGATCTCCGCACAAGGACCTGTTCTATCACCTCGTGAGCCTTCGCCTGACGCTCCGATATCCGTACTGATCATCCTGCAAGATCGATGAGGACAGTGTGCTAGAGGACAAGCCGACCCTTTTCGAGGTCCTGAGTGACAGTGTGTTTTGTCCTTTCTTTGATCAGTGCCCTTCGGTGACGGGCCTCGGGCAGGTTCATTGGCCATCATCGCGGGAGCGGATACGATAACGAGCGCCCTCGTATCTGCCTTCTATTTTATGATGAGGTATCCCAAGGTCTGCAAACGGGTCCAGAGGGACGTTGATAGCCTCGGAGATGATTTCTTGAATACCCAGAAGCAAGCACAGCTTCAATACGTGAATGCTGTGATGTGGGTGACCAATTCTACTTCTCGAACATTCCGTAGGCTGAGTGATATGTTCCACAGCTCCGAGACCCTTCGCCTTTGGCCACCGGTCCTCAGCGGGTCCCAGAGAGAAGTAAAGAAGGGTACAGGCAATGCGGTAATTGGGCCCTAGTCAGTATCTTCTTCTGACATTGATTAGAGCCTCATTGACTCCGCGTGTTGCAGTATTCTCCCAGAAGGAACTGCGGCATCTATTTCTTTTGCACTGGTTCACAAGGATCCTCGAAATTTCGCTCCGTATCCCGAAGCATTCATTCCAGAAAGGTGGCTCCCTGAGGATCAAAGAGGAAAACTTGAGCCAGCTATCTTTGCCGACAAGGACGCATACAGGCTAAATCAGAATGCATTCCTGACATTTTCGTACGGGCCGGCGAACTGTATTGGCAAGCAGCTTGCGTGGGTCGAAATGCGGATGGTCATTTGTCTGTTGACGAGGCAGTTTGATTTCGAATTTGCACCAGGGTATGATCCTAGCCAGTTCGAGAGGGACATTCGCGACTACTACATCATGGTCAAGGGCGCACTCCCTACTGTCTTGAGCCCAAGGCACTGAATTCAGAGCGGACGTATTTGGACTTAGATACCCTGTTTATACCTTTATTCCTCCTATGTTCATAATCTCCTAATACGGTTTTGGGGATTTTTTTTCGTTTGAGTGGGTGTAAAGGAATAATCCAGATTGGATAGGGAAACAATTTGACAATATGTGAGTACAAGAAATATGGTGGAGCAACAGATAGAGAGAAAGCAGCGATAAAATGAGCAAACTATTTCCTGGGCCTCTTCCTGACTTCCTCATCTTTACATGCGTGCAGCATTATCTTGTTTGGCATTCCAGGTGTCATACCAGAGTGTCCCTTTGACCAATCATAAGAAATGGCGTATGCGAATATGCTGCCAGTGCGATTGAAGGCGGAGCACGTTATCGGTCCCGGAGCGGCCTCGAAACCTAGTCATACAGTTAGTTGATAACCAGCGGAACAAAGGATTGACTCGGGCTTACTCTTCAGACGTGTTCGGGCATCCTTATCCCAGAAGTGGATAGTTCCGTCAGCGCCTAGAAAATGAAATGTCAGTTTCTAGTGGTGAGTAATAGGGAGAAACCAAGGAATTGAACGCACCGCAAGTCGAGAATGTTCCATGGACAGGATGGAAGGAAATATCGTTCACGGCATAAACGAGGGACTGATCTTTGGAGTTGGGATTCGCGTCGCGGCGGTGACACTTGAAGGAGAAGTTGTTGCTAGATTCTATGTTCAGGGTGGAATAGTAGACAGTGTATAGAATCCTACTCACGAGGCCTCGGATTCTTCGACATATCTTAGGAATGCGTTGATCAATAGTGCACACGCAGCAGAATAATCATCACTCACTGAATGGCCACGCGACCTTCAACACTTCCCACTGCGAACCCGCTATTCTGGGAAGCAGTGAAACACGAAATAACACGAGTTTGCCACTTCAAAGGAGAAGTGATTGTCTAAGGGGGCGGCGTTATTCGATTCCAACAATAACTAAATGGGCGAACCGACCTTGTAAGGGGTGCTAGGGTTATTGAGGTTGAAGATCTGGATGTGACGTTCTGCGGTACCAACGACGAGGACAGGGTACTGGATGTCGAGGGTGTAACATCTTTCAGGTAGTGTCACAGTGGCAATGGGGTTCTGGGATCTGATATCCCAATACTAGAATGCGAGAGTTGGCATTGGCACTAGCTAGCAAAGAAGACCACGAGAGAAGTCGAACCTTGATTGTTTTGTCCCAGCTTCCTGTGGCTAGAATACCTGCTTGAGGTGTGTCGATCCATTTGATGACCTTGACGGGCGCGTCGTGTTGGGCGACCTGGGTGGCTTGGCCAGTCGTTACATCGAACATGCGGCCTGCATTATCAGCGCCTCCGGAAAAAATCTTGTTTCCTTCCTGTAGAGAGCCGTTTGGTTCACTTATGAAAGAGGAGAAACGCTGAAGCGCACCTTGTTCCAACAAGTTGACAGTACGGGGCCTTGGTGGTTATAAACAGCCCTTCCCTGCGTTTGACCTTGTGCCCCTACTTCATAAATTCTGACCTAAAGTCGAGGAAGTTGAGCAGAGTGTACAGTCTAGCGAAGGAAAAGTACGTGCGCTATTGTCCCAGCTTCCAACAGCCAGATAGTCGGCCTGGCCTGAGAAAGAAACGGATGAAATAGAGTCGCCCGGAGGATCAGTGACTTCGATGTCTTTGTCGCCGCCGCTAGAGCTCGTGGATGTGACTGCGGTAGGATTGGCACTTGAAAAGAAGGCCATTGTGGGTGGTGAGTGACTCCAGCCTGCAACAAGCAGACAAAGTTACAGTTTGGTCTCAAACGCCTGTCACTCCAAAGAACTGCCGCCAGGGACACATCCCGCAGAGTCACACGCACCCCCTCCGACTCACTCCCCCGCCTGATCACCCTTTTCCCGTCCCTCCTTCACATTTTCTCATCGAATATCCCTATTATACGCGTTGGACTAAACGCGACGCGTGTTTCTACCGATACATGCCATCCCCAGCCAACCAAATACCAACTGGCTTCGTAGTCTAGAGGTACGATACTTGCTTTGGGCTGAAAACCGCAATTGCAAGTGGCCCGGGTTCGATTCCCGGCGAAGCCCTGTCTT